TGTCACGGCCAAGTTAAGAAGACCGGAGGCGGCACAGATGGCTGGAGTCACCCCTAAGTATGCCACCATACCTGGCTCGGATATTGCGGAGTGGCAGTGCCATACAGGTCACGTCAAGTAGGAGCTATCGCAGCCTGACTCTCGGTCTGCCAGTCAGCCACATGTTGGGTTGCCCACGCGTTCAGAGTGCTCTCATCCGTTGCTAAGCTTCCAAGCCACGCCTTTAAGCACACCATAATACCTTCAAGTGCATCACATTATTCAACAGTGCGCTGAACCGTAGACCTCACTCACTTCCCCATTCCCAGCATCAGGCCACCAAATTAAACACTCCACTTACTTACGGCCTTGACAAAATTTAAGCACGCAGTGTAGGAAAATGCCTTCTTCAAACTGATTGGCTTGTGGACCGGTGAAGGAAAAGACGGAACGAAAATAAGCTGAACCTTGCAGCGTAACTGGTTCTTCAGAGCCTCTGACAGCAACTAACTATTTTTACGACGTGAACCGCTTTGAAGTTGGTTGAGTTAAATCATTGTACGTAACTGATGTTGCATTCTAGTATAGTAGTCATCGCCTTTGACTTTGATCAACATCACATGTGGCCGCGAACCGACAAGACGGCTGAATGCATGGCAAAATTGCTAAGGACTTTCATGCCAGTCTCATTGGCCTAACGGTCTCTCCTTTATCGATCAGAACGAATGGTTATTGTACACACTCCAATTAAATTCGTGTTGGAAGTTAAAACTTTACCCAGCTATTCAGCGTATCAGATGTAAGACCCCTTTTGATCATCATATATTTTGACTTGTTTCATTAAATCTACCTATTTTTCATTGACATCTATGTGTGCACTGTTGCCTAGGCCTATATTTTTAAAGAGGCTTGCTCTATTCCTTCTAGAGGAGGCAACAAATTCACCTTTCAGTCAGCGTAATCAAGCAGCCCTCATAGAGATTTGTGATCATGTAAAGCTGGATCCAGACGGACCGAAGACTGCTTTGAAGGCATTGATTAAATATCTGCAGCAGTCTGCAGCCAAGGACCCAAAGACTGCTGCCTTCACGCTGACTTTACTGGACATGTGCGTCAAAAACTGTGGCTACCCCTTTCTATTGGAATTCTGCAGAGGAGACTACTTAAAAAACTTGAAAAACCTTGTTGAAACTGGACCATATAATTTGGGAACCTTGAATAGACTTCTTAGTATTATCCAGGCATGTGTGCAACATTTTAAACTTCATTCATTCCACAGGTCTGGGGACTAGCCTTTTCGAATCATGCCGACTTTCAACCGTTCAACGCACTGTACCAAGCACTCTTACACAAGTCATTCCGCTTCCCTGATGTGGAAACCAATGACGTAGAGTTACTTAGGCGTACGGTAAGGTAGCTTTTATCTGACAGCTTTTCGTTGTGCGTTGTCCTCAACTGGGTTATTTGTTTCCGAATAGTCTTTGTGATTATAATTAAGGCCTATCAGGCCTTATCCTAATGCCCTGATTTTCCTGACAGCCTTTCTTTTGCTTTCCAGTCTTATCTACACAGCTTTTTTGCTTTATGTGTAGTTTCCACCATTGGGATCGACCCAGCGAACTGCAACTCCGAGCGGCAAGGACACTCACCTGCTGATAATTCGCCGGGATCTCCACTTCCAGTCCCTTGATCTTCAGGACTTAGAGGGTCTATTTCAGACTTTCACCCGTAATCCCTCAGATAATATTGCGCGGATACGATTGCGGGTAAGTAGCCGCTAATACGGACGATGTTCGGGCGCTTATAGAACTCTAGATGCTCAATGTTTGCGGTCACGAGATGAAGCAGGCATTTG